TAATAAAGCAAATTAATCAAAATAAAAAGTTAGCAATTAACCTAATAGCAAGAACATCATCAACAGCAAGCTCACCGATGAAGCGAGCGTAGTGGGGCTTGATCGAAATTAATCCATCAAGCCAAACACAAGCGTCTAACAGCGACACGTCTTTCCCTTGCAGCGCTTTCGATACATACTCTACTTTTTTCGGGTCCCTTCAGCAAAGAGCGGAGACGACGGTTGCACGCGGGCGTCGGCAACAGGTCGGCTATGTCGTCGTCGTTAGTGTCGATGAACTCAAGAAGAGTAAAGTACCGGTTGACCATCGTGAATGTCGATCCCCATCGCGTGCCTTGGTGGATAACTGGTCGAAGCTTCGTTGGAGCCCTGTAGCCAAAATTAAAAACAGGTTAGAAATTATTCTAATTAAGCGATATGGTGTACAAAATACCACGAGTCCCAAATAGTTATTACCTGAGATTGGCTGACTGTGTCTGAGTGCGTAGCCTAATCATCGGCTTTTGTACTGCATCGAGGGTAGTCTCAAAGTTCGCCATCTCAACTTGAATGGCGCGGTTAAGACGGTGGCTGGCGCAGCCAACCAATGACACGCCCATCAGCGTCGTTAACCGGCGGTTCACTACATAGCTGTCTGCTACCAGAAAGCAGCACTGCCCCAGTTTTCCATAGTCGCGGGGCGGTAGGGTGGTGAAAAACTCCATATGGCCGCGAGCTGAAAGATCCTCCTACTCGTCGTTAAGGAGTGGGGCCATATCCAAGAGGGGGGGGGGCTTAACGACGCCGCCGACTTCGTAGCGAGCATACACAGCAATGTAATGCTCTGATGCATGCGACCAATCATCCAGGATTAGCCCGAAGCGTTCCGGCAGCTCTGACCCGATGATGCGCTCGACAGCGCGCGTCAAGCTGTTCTTGCTGGCAATTTTGAAAGTGAAGAAGAATAAATCGGTCAGAAGCGGCATCAAAACGAATGGGTGGTGGCGAAGGAGCCCTCAGAAATAACTTAAGGTGAATATGTACATAATTACCTTAATTAGCGCGCACAGACATAAATTACTCTGAAACTCAGGTCCAGACTATCAAATAAATAGCTTTCAAATATTTATGTCCATAATTGAAACCTCATTTTTTTCTCGGAGGCCCTGCTGATGAAGGTGGTGAACCCGTCCGGTAAGATTGGACTCGTTCGACTAGGGTTCCTCGCACTCGGGCTACGAACGTATCACGTACGATAGCGGAAGGAAAAGACGCTAAGGCGGACAGCAACAACCGTATCACTTCGTCGAACGACTGGAGCACTACCATCTACTCGGATACATCGGCGCGGGTGGACTAGTTTTTTTCGGTTGCTTTAGACAAGAGCAACGTGCTGTGTAGTGTGTTTTTTTTGCAATCTTTTGGTTTGACATCAGTGTAGAAAGTGCTCTTCTCGTAGCTTAAATTATAGATTCTCTGCCCAGAAGGCAACGCGAGAATAATATTCTACATGTACATATTATGTGTAGTTAATGCATTTACTTGCTTTACGTTCGAAGTTTATAGTATGTGGAAACCCACCGCTGCTTGGGGGCTTTGTCATCGCGCGCTAGGTGCCGATCTTAGGCCGAGATTTACATAACGAGTTGCTTAATAGGGGGTTGGGATCCTTACATATAGAAATTATTTTAGCAATCATGTCCTTCATTGAAAACGCGCATACTGATCAAAACGTAGGTGGTCATA